AAAAAAAAAAAAAAAAAATAGCTTCTCTTGAGTAAATTTCATTTTTCTCCCCTTTCACAAATTCTATTTCATATAGACAAACATACTCCATACAAGACTATTTTATGAATATACAATATTAAATTATTTTAGACACTGTGGTTTATTATTTTAGTGTTGTGTTGTAATTAAATTTTAACTTGGCTACTATTTATATTAGTTCTGGTAGTAGGTTTTGAATACATTTTTCGTGAATTTGACTATTCCAATGGAAGTCTAGGATAAAATGTCTCAAAAATGATATGAGAAGAATCAAAAATTGATGAAAAACTCACAAAACTTATCCTTTTAAATTGATGAAAAAATAATTCAACACTAAACTGAAAATGTTAAATAATTATATTAGTTATTGAATAATTACTGAATATATGACCATGGCTATTTTGCCTTTTACTTAATAAATTTTCTGAATATACAATATTAAATTATTTTACATCTAATTTCATATTTTATATTATAATATTACAATATAAAAAAAAAACAAAAAACTGATTTATATGGAAGTTAAATAATTTATATTTATATTATACATTTACATATAGTAAAGTTTATAAAGTGTAATACTGATATATAAATTTTTGTTTCCCTCTGTGTATGTGCACATGATTTTCTTCTTAATGTTGGAAAACATAAATCAATATTTATATAGATATAACCATTGACAAAAAAATTATGATAATTATTTTCATCTTCACGTTCTTTTTTCTTATATTCACATTAATAAAGTAATTATATATTTTTTAATTTATTATACAATAACTACTAATTATAAATTCACATTAAATGATATTCTAATATAAAAAAATTTAATCTATTTGCTTAAAATATTATTTCTTTTTCTTTCAACTCATTAGTTAAGTTTTTTTGTATTAAAAATAATTAATTAATTCTATAATCAAACTCCTTAAAATTTCGTACAAATAATAATAAATTTAATATTATTTTATTAAATTAATTGATAATCAGGATCGCAGAAATTATATTATTGAAATCAATATACATATATATTATATAAGTTAAATAGTTTATATATACTTATATTGTTCATTTTTACTAATGTTAAAATCTATAAAATATAAAATACTTATTTTTAAACTTATGATTTTAGATACACATACATGTAACACATAAAATTTATATCATTTTCGA